CCTGAGCCAGCATGGGGGAACTATGACCCCCTCATGACTCGTGGACTTCAACTCCCAGAATTCCTGAGCCGCCATGGGTCAGCTTGGAAACCTCTCCCTTTCCCCTCAGCATGGCTGGCTCAGGAATTCTGGGAGTTGAAGTCCACCAGTCATAAAAGAGCCAAGGTTGCCTACCCCTGGGCTAGACAGTCACTTGTCTGAGATGGTATAGGTCAGGGGTGGGGAACCTTGGCTCTTTTATGACTCGTGGACTTCAACTCCCAGAATTCCTGAGCCAGCATGGGGGAACTATGACCCCCTCATGACTCGTGGACTTCAACTCCCAGAATTCCTGAGCCGCCATGGGTCAGCTTGGAAACCTCTCCCTTTCCCCTCAGCGTGGCTGGCTCAGGAATTCTGGGAATTGAAGTCCACGAGTCATAAAAGAGCCAAGGTGGCCTACCCCTGGTCTAGATTTATTCGTGGGGGGGGAGGAGACTGCACTTCCCCCCTAACTCTGACTTAGAGCAATTAGCGAAGTTTACAATCTCAAAGTCTCTTTTTCCTTTGTGAGGGAAACAGCGAGAAGGGCGCAGAGCCTGACACACAGGCAGCTGATGACGTGCCAGGTTTCTGCAGAAAGCTGGGCCATGAAAGATTTAGCAATGCACCTGTTGATCCTGTAAATCGGGGGTGGGCTACTGAAATTCCCACCACGGACCACCTTCAGCATTCCTGCCAGCTCCTGATCGGCAATAAAAGGCTGCCGGATCTTCCCTCGCCAAATGACCAAAGCCTTCCTATGACTTTAGGCGAGCCACCGCGGGCAGGAGGGAACTTGGTGGAAGGCAGCTTCGAAAAGGCAGCTGAAATCCGAACGCTCGAGACAAGACCGTAATTTCCCAGGGTTTCTGGCTTTGGGAACTTAAAACGTGCCGCCAACTGGATCGCGAGGCGGGAAATCTGTATTTTCTGGAATTGCAGAAATGGGACGAAGCAGACCAAAATTCTAGAGAAGGCATTTTTCCTTCTCCCCTTCCTCGGAGATCTCCCCAAAAGGGGGGGAAAGCTGCAAAGGACGGGCACCTGGTGTCCTCGGTCCTAGAGAGAGCGCACAGAGACGAGGACACGTACCCCTGGATTCTTCCAGGCCATTTCTAAGACCAGGCTCCTTCTCCATCTTCCTAAGGGCAGTCTTTTTTGGGGGGGGCAGCAAATGAGATTTGCGCCCTCGACTCCTTCCCCTGCTGGGAGAGGGCAGCAAAATGCTTCTTCGCCTTCCAGGTTCCCCTTTGGGGACCTCAGAACCGAGGCCAGCAGGCCTAACGGAGGCAGCCTGGACAGTTACCGCCAAGGCCAGGAAACGCAACCGGCCGCCCCTTTTTGCGGAGAAAGCAACCCCCCCGCTCGGAATTTCATAGGGGACCTCCAGACCTTTAATGTTCCCCAGGCTGAGCAGCAGCACAGCGCGAAATTCCCCGGAGGTGACCAGATGCCTCCAGCACAAAATGCAGACCTGTCCTCCAGGTCCAAGACGTTACACAGCCCGCATGAACTCTGCACGGAGTCCCGTCCCCCCCCCTGCCCCGGCGTGTCTGCAAGGAGGGGCCCTGCGTTGTCAACACGGCAATATACGAGCCAGGCCGGTCCAGCGTGCACCGTTGGACCTTTTTCCTCGTGTGACTCACCATCCCACATCCCAGAATCCTTTGCACCAGTTCCCTTGGATCTTCAAAAAGACTGCTGGCTCTTGGGTGGGGTGGAAAGCTTCTGTCCCTCCTCCCTCCTGGCTGCTGGAGCGAGAGTGAAAGAGAGTGACAGAGTGTGAGAGAGAGAGAGAGAGAGGGAGGGAGAAAGAGAGGGAGGAGGAAGGCAACAGGGGAACAGAGAGAGAGAGAAAAAGAGAGAGAGAGAGAAAGAGCGCAAGAAGGAGGGCAGAAGGAAGACAGGGCAACAGGGGCAGTGCATCCTCTCCCCTCCAATCGCTTTGCAGGATCTGGGGAGGGGGGGGCTGTGTGCCCTGGGGGAGGGGCTCTCCTTCTCCCCCTCGCCAACCGCTAAGCACAAAGAGCAAATTCAGCTTTCCAGGAACAGTCACCCTCCTCCTCCTCCTCCTCAGCCTGGGAACGATCCCAGCACAGAGCTGGCGGCTTTCTAGTTAACATGAACCCACAGCGGGGACTCCGCAGCACTTTCCTTCAGACCCTGGGTGCCAGGCTCAACACACCCCCCCGCCCCAATAGTCCCCCTCTGGAGGAAGCCCAGTTTGTCTCTAAACTGCTGGGGGGGGGAGGAAAGGGCCATTTCCTAAAGCCCCCCCCCCCCCGTTGGCAGCCTCCACTTTTCTCCGAGAAGCCATGCGACGGGTGTGTGGGTGTGTGTGTGTGTGTGTGAAAGGGGCAATTGAAGGTACATCCTTTGGACGGAGTGTATAATAAATCCCCTCCAGGGAAACGGCAAGGGGGAAGAGACCCCCGCCAGCCGACGGAGACCAGGGGTCTCCGAAACCCTTCCTGTGACCAACTCACAACAGCCTCTGCAAACGTTAACGGGCACAGCCCTGACTTTTAACGCCAATAACAGCGCGTCGATTTCTCCGCTGCATTGAGGGAGGTGAGCCTAGAAGGAAGCCGTGGGACCCCCATATCCCACCCTGAGCCGACCCCACAACTGCAGGGCAAGCAGCGACCCGCAGAGGGCTGCCTGACACGGGGAGGGAAGGAGGGGGTGGGGGTGGGGGAAGGAGAGAGAGAA